CGAGGTGCGGGCGCAACGCCGAGGGTTGTGATCCCGTTGCCGGTCCTGGTCCGGTACGGGCGCGACACTGAGGGTTGCGGTCCGTTGCCGGACACGAAAAAAGACAAAAAGGAAAAAAAAAAATCTTTAGCCACAATATTAATTCCAATTGAAATTTCAAGTATTATTAGAGAACAGTGTGAGATCTTTTGGATCACCAAAGGAGGGATGGGCTCAGTAGCTCATTAATAAAGAAACTCTCATTAACAGTGGGGAAAATTCAGATTCAAGACTCCCAAGTTCACCTTCCTATATAAACTCTGGCTCTTTAATAGATAATTTATTTTTAAAATCGTTATTAATATAATGCAGTCGTTCTCAAACTTTGGTATCCATCAGAATTATCTTGCAGAGCTTGTTAAAAATGCATGACCCAGGCCTGACCCAGACCTATTGAGAATCTTTAGTTGTGGGGGTCCCCATCTCTGCTAGAGAAGCTCAACTGAGCATCTTTTGACTAAGAGTGATTAAAAATACAGGTTTCCCAAATCAGATATTAATTATTACTAACCAAGGAAGATGAAAATGAGTTCTTAGGGAAAAAAGATAAATCTGTTTACTTCACATTTGTAAATTCTTTACATTAGGACTTTTCATTTTGCTCTCATCAACATAAGAACATGTCTACATATTTTATCACGCATACATGCTAACACAAACACTTTTAACAAACTAGGCTTCCAAACCCTCTTAAAGACTGGTCCAACTTCCCATACATACTTGATCTGCAAGGAGCATACTCAACAGTCTTTGTTCCATCTTGAAGAAAGCAGGTCCCAACAGGCTCTCTCTCCTGCTTCATCTCAGTCCTCCAGTGGTACAATGGAGCACAGGCCTAAAATCAAAGTTTAGTCCACGACATAAAAATTATCTGAAAAATTAGTGTTTCAGACAATCTGTACTATTTCAGAATATACTGTTACCTTCTAAGCATTAATAGAAATTAATCTAACTACCCTATACCTTAAATAGTTACTTTAATAGTTATTTTGTTTGTTTGGTTTTGCTCTTTGATGGAGGGTAACAAGAATGCTATTTGGGTCATGTTCATATTGAGCAGTCTATTTGATATCCACATGGAAATGCCAAAGAGATAGTATAGAAATATGCCTTTAAAGATCCAGGGAGAATTAAGAACTAGAGATATGAATTTGGGGATTATGACATATAGATTGTATTTCCAGCCATGGGACAGGATAAGAGCCCCTAAGTAAAAAGTGTAGTTAAAGAAAATGAAGGGGCCCAGAATAGGGCTCAGGTACACCCAACATTTGGAAACTGAGCAAAAGAGCCATTAAAGGAGACTGCAAAGGAGCAGCCCACAAAACAGGAGAAAAACCAGGAAAGTATAGTGTTGTGGAAACCCAGGGAAAAAAGTATTTCAAAGTGGGTCAATTCACCTTGTTAAATGATGCTAAGAGGGTGAGAAAGACAAGAATAAATACCAGTGGAAAAATAAGACATCATGAATATATATACAAATACATACCTGCAAGTCAGTGGGGACCTTGCCCTTGCCTATCTGTGAGAAAGACAAGAATAAATACCAGTGGAAAAATAAGACATCATGAATATATATACAAATATATACCTGAAAGTCAGTGGGGACCTTGCCCTTGCCTATCGGTGCCTGACTGGAGGACATGGGAAAAGAATGCAAAATGAAGAAGTGGAAAATAGAAAAGATTTTTGAGAAGAGGAACAGAGGAATGATGCAGTGGCCGAGGAGAAGATGAGACAGAGGAAAGGCCTGTATTTTTGAACAGAGGAAATACTAAAGCATTTGATTAGGCACACTATTCCTAAACTTGGTTGGATAGAAATAAACTGATGGGAGATATCAAGCAGGGCAGGAAAAACAAATAATGTAGGAACAAAGGTGGAAAGAAGCAGAGCCCAGTCCCAGAAGGGAGGGAGAGATGGTTTCCTTAGATGCGGTGGCCTTTGATCAGAGCTATCTTATCTTTTTATGCCCCACACCGTTGAGCACACTAAATTTTACTACCAGTTTGAAACATAAAACTTCCTGTGTCTCCACATAAATTAACTAGAATCACCTGCGAGTAAATATCCAAACGACTTACCAAAATTTTATCCTGCTTCGACCTCACAGATGCTCCAAACCACTGATGGGACTTGAACTCTAATGGATCATCTTTGGCATAATCTCTATTACCTAAAAAAGAATATTGTGAGGGGTGAGAAACAAAATATATTGTTCTATGTATATCAGAGTTTCTTTCTTTCTTTTTTTTTTTTGGTAGCTGACTGATTTGGGGATCCAAGCCCATGACTTTGGTATTACAAGGCTGTACTCTAACCAACCAAAATAACCAGCCAGCCTGATGGAAGAGTCCAACATCTGGTCAAGGAAAAAATTACAGAGATATAAGCACAAAGTATTTTGGGAAGGAGAGAATATTTTTAAAACCTCATTTGTTACTCTTAAAGTCTATTTACAATGATCATTCTTTATAAACATGCATTTCAATAACTATATTGAACAAATATAGCAGATAAGCGTCAATTTTAAGAATGCTAGCCAACATGTAAATATTATCAAAAGGTTTAGTTAAATCATTTCCCTAAACTCCCACCTATCTAAGGTACTGCTTATGGTTATTCAATTCCATTCAGGAGACTTAAGATCAATTGAAGAATTACAAATAATTAATAAGAATTTCAATAATTCTAGGTGTTTTATGGGTAGGGTAAAGGGTGAAATGGTGCTAATTGTATTGTTCTTTTAATTTTTTCATTGTTTTGAAAAAAAATGTTTAATGCGTTAATCTCCAAAGGCCTCTAACAGGAGTCTAAACAACACTGCTCTTTGTGAGTGATCATGAAGGCACCATTTTATAAGTAGAGGAAAGGAAAAAGGAGACATGCAACTAGCTAGTGTGTACCCCTTTACCATAATGACCAAGGTTCCCAACAGTGAGGGGCTTGCCTTTGACACCTATGTTCACCATACTGTCCATACTGGAAAGAACAAACCTCAGTGACTGCTGTGGATTGATGTCTCCCCAAAACTTAGTCCCCACTGGAACAGTGTAAAGAAGGTGGGAAATCCTATTATCGTAATTGAAAGGTGGGGCCTTGAAGAGGTGATTAAGTTGATGGCTTAATGGTGGTCATGGGCATAGTTCTGGGGGTTTTAAAAGGTGAATGCATGAGATTCTCTTTCTTTCTGCTACATCATTTTCTGCCAAGTGAGACCCCTGCATTGCTGTAAAGCCATGACCAAAGAAGGCCCTCGCCAGATATATTGCCTGGACTTTGGACTTTCCAACCTCTGAAACTGTAAGCAATAAATTTTATTTTCTTACAAATTACCCAGTTCCAAATATTTTGCTATAAGCATCAGAAATGGACTAATACAGAAAATTGGTAACAGGAGTGGGATGTTGCTTATAACAAATATACAAAAATGTGGAAGCAGCTTTGGAACTAGATGTTGAGAAAAGGCTGGAAGAATTTGAAGCAGCAAGCTAGAAAAAGCCTAGCTGCTAGTTGGAGTTTAGAAAACCAGGGAAAGTTTGGAACTTCTTAGAGACTGGTTAAGTGGTGGCAACCAGAGTAGTGATAGAAATATGGACAGTAAAGGCTATTCTAAGAAGATCTCAGATGTAAATGAGAAGGCACTTATTAGAAACTGGGGCAAAGATCACCCTTGCTCCGAACTGGCAAGGAACTTGGATGCATTCTGTTTATGCCCCAAAGCTTTATGTAATCTGTAACTTCAAGGTGCTGAAACAGGGTATTTGGCAGTAAAGCATTAAGGAAGGTGCATGGCTATTGCAGAAGCCTATGTTGAGTTATGGCAGAAAAGGCATGAGGTAAAGCCAGAATATATAATTCAAAAGAAAGCAGAGGGGAAAAAATTGGAAAACTTCCAGCCTGGCCACAAAAGCAAGGGTGTAGCCCAGGGACTCTTCACTAAGGAGATGAATATAGAAGAAAGGGATTATCAAGAGAAGGAAAAAAAGATCGTGAAGGAATTTCAGAGATCTTGGAGGATGTGTCTTCCATTACAGGTCCAGAGGTCTAGGAAGACAGAATGGTCTTGGAGAACAGTCCCAAGGCACCATCCACAGGCTCGCTGTCCAGGGCCACGCTGGGACACTGCTTCCAGCACCAGCACCCCAGCTGTTTTGGCTGCTCCAGCCATGGCTAAACTGGCCCCAGGTATGGCTGGACCCATAGCTTTGGAAAACACTAGCTGGAAGCCCTGGCAGTGTCTATGTCGTGTTTAGTCTGCCAGCTCACAGAATGCCAGAGCTGTGGAGGCTTGGGAGCCTCCACCCTGATTTCAAAAGATGTATGGAAAAGCCTGGGGGCCCAGGAAGAGATTGGCCTGGGGACCAATTTACCACAGACAGCCTTTGCTAGACCCATGCCAAGCGGAAATGTGGGGGTGGAGTTGCATCAGAAAAATCCCACCAGCACCATGCACACTGTGGCGGTGAGAAAAGGACCACCACAGAGACCCCAGAATTGTGGAGCTACCAGAGCAGAACACCAGCCTGTGAGAGCTAAAGTGTGGACTAAGACCAGGAAAGCCACAGGAGCAGAGCTACCCAAGGACTTGGGGACTCATCCCCCACATCAGTATGCAGAGGATGTCAAACATGGGAGTCAAGGTACAATGATTTGCCAGCTGTAAGATTTAATGCCTGCCCTGCTGGGTTTTGGACTTGTTTAGGATCTGTTACCACTTTCTTTTGGCCTATTTCTCCCTTTTTGTTTGGGAGTATGTACCCTATGTTTGTCCCACCATTGTATCTTGGAAGTAGATAACTTGTTTGATTACACAGATGGGACTTCGGACTTTTGAGTTGAAACTAGTTAAGACTTTGGGAATGGAGTGAATGTATTTGTATGTGAAAAAGAAATGAGTTTTGGGGTGCCGGGGCGGAATGCTGTGGATTCATGCCTCCCCAAAACTTAGTCAACGCTGTGACAGTGTAAAGACTGTGAGAAATCCTATTATGGTAAATGAAAGGTGGGGCCTTGAAGAGATGATTAAGTTGATGGTTTAATGGTGGTCATGGGCACAGTTCTGAGAGCTTTAAAAGGACAGCATGTGAGAGTCTCTCTCTGTTTGCTCCACCATTTCTGCCATGTGAGATCCCTGCATTGCTGTAAAGCCACCACCAAAGAGGGTCCTCACCAGATGAGTTGCCTGGACTTTGGACTTTCCAGCCTCTGAAACTGTAAGCAATAAATTTCATTTTCTTACAAGTTATCCAGTTCCACAGTTCCAAGTATTTTACTATAAGCAACAGAAATGGACTAACACAGTGACCTAGAGACCACCAAGTAGTCCACATGATCCCTTACATTTCCCATCCTCCCACAGTTCAGTTAAAACCATGAAACTAATTCTTGCCCATAAGCTAGAGCAGAAGTGGCATGTGTCTCTTCCAGGTTGAGTCAGTTAAGGACTGAAATATCCGTTCTCCATATTTTCTCTCTCTCTCATCCATGAGGCTGCTAGACAGGCAGTAGAGTTGCTAGATGAAGGCAGCCTCAGCCCAAGTGTAAGCCACCAAGCACAGCCAAATGACCCACACTAGATGGTGACATGAGTAAGAAAGAATCTTTTGTTCAGTGACTGAGATTTGTGGATATGTTTGTAATTAAGGCATGTTGTTACAGAAGTATAGCCTAGCATATATTGAGTAATATATGTTCTAAAAACATCATGTTATTTCTGAAAGAGCCTGACCTACAACCACAAAGAAGCTTAGCCTTTGGAAGAATTGAATTCAATTGACAGTTTTTCAAGAATTTCAACCATGTTAACAAGTTATTTAATATAATTTTTTTTCTTTTACTCTACTGAAAGCTAATTGTATTTTCTTATTCTGTTGTCAGCTTTCTATTTTATTCCTTTCTACAAAGCAGATGAAGGCATTTTCCCCCATCACATTAATGAAGCAGGAGAAATACAGTATGACTATGAAAAAAACAGCTGGCTCTTAGACAGATTCACCTCTACTCACTGTCCCTTGAGGCCATAAGCTTCATGATAAAATCAGGTCATCTTAACCAAATCAAAAAGGGAAGTTAGTTTATGAGCTACTGCACACGGACAATAGTGCAGCACTGTCACAACTGCTACCTCCTGCTTCTGCTTTTATTTTAAACACAGCCTTTTCAGCAAGATGAAACTCTAAAGATGTCCAAGCAGAAGCAACACTTGTCTATATTAGAGCAAATCACAGGTTGAATAGATATGCCACATCAGAGAGGTTCAAATTAAGGCTCTGTATATTTTCCTGTACTCTAAAACTTCCAATGTCAAAATAAAATAATGCAGTGGGACAGACCCAACATCACTATATTCTTGCCAACACAAGTATTCCTGACTAGAAAAAGAAAAAAAAAAAAAAGGAAAAAAACAAAACAAGTATTCCTGCCTACATGACAACTGAGATAGATTACTCAAATATGACAATATCATGAAAGACAATAAAAGTACGTAACTGTTCCTGATTAAAAGAGATCAATGAGACATAGCGGCCTAATGCAAGACGTGATCCTTGATTGTGTCTGATGTCTCAAAAATTTTGCTAAGGGCCGGCCCGTGGCTCACTCGGTAGAGTGCGGTGCTGATAACACCAAGGCCCCGGGTTCGGATCCCATATAGGGATGGCCGGTTGGCTCACTGGCTCATCCTTTTTATGTAAAATAGATATGTTAAGTCACTATAAATTAAATTAAATTAAAATTAAAATTATTATTATATATATATAAATATATGTATATTTTTTTCCCTTCTTAACAATATATCAATATGTCAATAATAAAGTTAGACCTACAGTACCATTTTCATTGTTGGGTAGCACCCCATTATACAACAATACAATAATTTATTTAATCAATCCCTAACAGCTCCTTCAACTTCAAATTTAGGAGTATTTCTATTTTGATTTAAGAGACCTATATATTCCCTCAAAGTCACATCTACTTCCTCCTCCAATATACATAAGAATCTCAGCAAAGTGTATCATTGGGGTCTGGGACATAAAATAAACTAAGATAAGGTAATAAACCCTCCAGAATATGGTGTGTAGAACAGAATTTTATTCTAACAGATAAACTTCTAAAAAGGCTTTAAGATGTACTTATTTTTATAAGTAAGAGTTCCTTATCCTTGGCTCAGTTCCT